TAAATTGTATCCCCGATATCATAGAAAGAATGGCAGTGTCTATGGTTTGCTATGGGAACCCCAAAATATGTGTCAGATGACAAAAACTGAAAAAGGAGATGACAATGGATGATGTAATAAAGATTATGTGAAAATTTCATTAAATTTTATTCAGTAGTATAGGAGGAGCTACGGATTAGAGATTGGTATCGCCCGATTTCAAAGAAAGAAGAATGGCATTGTCCATGTTTTCATATGGGAAAATTCAAATATGTGTCCGATTGCGATCAAAAAAGAAAGATGGAGGTCACAAAGGCCCTATGTCATAAAGATTCTGCAAAAAGACACATTAGATTTTATTGAGTGGTAAAGAAAAGTTGCAGATGAGATTTGGGTACCCCAAAGCGTAATAGACGGAGGGACAGATGAACAGACGGACCCCCCCCCCCACTTCGCATATCCCCAAACACTTTTCAAAGCAGGGGATATCAATATTAGTTCTTATTATCAACAACAGCACCAGCACATATCAGTACTATCAAACTTTCAACAATGAGCAGGGTTAAAAGAAAATTCCAAAATTGAACCAATCTTTGATATTATGAGATATATCAGCTTTGGTATATCAAGATAATTTGGGAGTAACAACATGAATTCTTCTGCATAATTACACCGTTTTTTCTTTGGAAATGCTTACTTTACTTGGTTATTATTTTCCAATAAATGCTTGCGGTGAAGAGAATTATATCATATAAAAGGGGCTTTCCCTTAAATTTCTAATGAATGTTAATTTCCGGTCAATGTCAAGGGTTTATGAAGCAGTAGACAGAGACTGAAAAGGAGTTATTAATGTGCATGTGATGTGTCCTATTCAATGCACTGTTACTAATATTAAACTAATCGTAGAATGAATACGGTGGCAGGGAAGTAATTTTACTTAGTCTCTGTTAAAAGATAACAAGTTGATGTGATACTCCTATAAAAAAAAAACATGATGGTGGAGATGTGTAGCTTATGAATTATTGGTTGGACAAGGCAAAATATATAACTTGTGCATTTGCTTTGTAAAGTAAAATGAGGTAAAGTTCAAGGGTTTTCCAGAAAGTTCAAGTAAATATGATGTGAAAATGCTAATGTTTCAGTTATGTAAACAGTTCCATTCATTCTAGAGATTTCCTCCCAATAAATCACTGCCATTGAATAACGTACTGGTGTATTTAGCATTCAAGCATTGATCTCAAACATTTTTAATGACAGGTTTAATCTAAACACTTCCCTGTTCTGCCTTAGATCATGGAGCATGCCTGACTCATCAAAAATTACTTTATGTTAGTGGATGTCTTACCTTAACCTTTATTCATTTGAACAGTACTAGTATTCATAATTGTAGAATACATGTATGTAAAAAGATCCTTATATTGACAGATTGCATCTATGATTGTTATAACTAATTTTTTTTTTCATTTCCAAATGTCGGCTCTCACAAATATAACTCCCCCCCCCCCCCTTCTGAATAAAGAAAAAAACACAGTTAACACAATAAAACAGCATGCAGATGGGTTTGAACAGTCGTCCATCTGAGAAGCCGTTGGAACTGTTGTACAATGTACCTTCAGTATATACTACGTACAGATCTTGAAGTGATAGCATATTAAACAAACCACTGGACATGTTTTTTTTTAATTTTCAGATCTAGAATTGATAACTGCATCATATGAATTTAGAAAAAGTAAATTCCGGGGGAGGGAGATTTTTATCCTAAAAGAAGTAAAACGTTCATAATGACATTATACTAGCAACTAGAATTATGGAAGAACGAGTAAATTTAGTTTTTTTTTTTACATGTTAAACATTTAAAGATGAAGGAAACATAATCTATACTCTGCATGTGTTGAGATATGCCTTTGAGTCTTGAGCCACTAGTCAGAGGTTATAGATCCAGAAAGACCTACTTGGAACGTGGGAACCTGAAGCGGTTGTCATGAATTCAAAAAAAATATCTGCACCTTGGCATAATGTAAGTAAACTCTTAATCATTTATTATTTATCTGGGGCTCGTAACGTAAAGCTCACTAAGAGTTTGGCTTAAGTAGGGTCATAAGTATGTTTTAGGTGCAATCTTAGGACCTGCCTAAGTACTACTTAAGTATGTCTTAAACCGTAACATAAAACGAACTAAGCCAGTCTTAGCTAAGTCAAACCTATGTACAAAATATTTCTTATGAATCACCCTAGTTTTTCACTTTATTTACGTATATTGTGAAAAAAAATTATTCATTTAGGCTTTGAATTATAATTTGAATTATATTAAAATATATATTAAATTTGACGTCCTCACTTAGTAACTTAGATTAGATTTCGTATTAATCAAATATATAATTCTGTTAAAAATTATCACAAAGTGGCAATAGTGGATCAATGTAAATGAAAGAGTTTTGTTTATCACTCGAGACTGCAATTTTTCAGTTTACCTTTTGTTGTTATTCTTTTGTTTTGGAAAAAATATTCACTCGCTTTGACATTGTCGCAGACCTGGCACGATAACTGAACATCTATCTACTTGAAATGAAAACTCTGTTAAAGAAGTGGAAACAATAGGGACTTTTTTGAATTTTTCCCCAAGATGTATCAGGAAATGTCGGCAAGGAAAGACTGTAGACGTTTTATGATATTTAAACACTTTATTCTTATCTTATTTTCAATTTAATCATTGATCGAAGAGAATTGATTTCAGATGATACTTTTTCATATGCCCTAACATAACATCTCTCTCTCTCTCTCTCTTTCTAGGAAGGTAATATGTCTGAATCCGCGATGTCGGTTCTACATTGAATCTTATTTACGAACACTCTTAATTAGTATTTTAGTCATCATCGTTGTCTCTTAAAGTTTACTTCAACTCATATTTTTACAGCTAACATACGATTTCAAGATTTTCTTTGTCCAAGTTACATATAGTAAGTAGTGTTTATAACCTATTCGATTTTTGAAACTATCCCCAAAAATATAGTTTTTCAAGGACATAATAAGCCATGTTTGGAGTGATATTGGAATCAGTGATCAATAAATCTGCCCCCCCCCCCCCCCCGGCAATAAATCTCCAATTCACATACCAGTATTACGCTACGATAAATTATTTCTTTAATGCATAATTAGAATAGAAGAATTTTTAACGTCGAGATTCAACATTTAATAGTTCTAAATTTGTGTATAAGATAGAAAAGACATACTTAAGTCACCTCCACAGGCCGCCTAAGTTTTGCTAAGATTGTCAAATCGCAGCACGCTTCTAGTTACGGTCTTAGGTCTGAGACTGTACTTAAGTCCTACTTCAGCATGGTCTTAGACTTAAGTACCTTTTATGTTACGACCCTCTGGTTCCTACAAAAACATTTAAAGATGAATTTACGATATACTACTAAAAATATAAAAGTAACAAGTTTGGCTTTCCCGAAATACTAAAAGTCATCTTTTTGGTTTCGTACATGTCACAGAATAAACAATAGAATATAAGATTTTTCCAGCTAGACAGTAGTATCGTTTATGAAAAGAGGGGCGGGGCATAAAAAAAATTCGACAACTTATTAAGAATCTTTAACAAAAGGGTGGAGTGTGTCCAAACTCGAAAATCCTATTTTATGGAGGGGGGTTTAAATTTTTTCAACAAATAAATACATTTTCAAGGACGATTTGACTATAAATCGACAAAAAGTTTAGGTGAGGTCTCCGGGGGAGGGGGGGGGGGCGTTTCAATGAACTTTTTCAATAGTAAAAGGTTATCATGGTTGTGGTTAAAAGGCATTCCAAAATTAAAATAGAAAATTTCCTTTTCATTTTGCCCTCGGGTATTGACAAAATATAACGAAATGCAAAGTTTTATAACATGTTTAATTGCAAGATTGTGAAAAATCAGCATTTTTCCATTATAAAGACGATCATGGATCACAAATAAAACGAAATTAAAACATTTAGAGGAAATACTGACAACACTTATTTACAACACAAGGGAAGTTTTCATCTTGATGATAGCAAGGCTCTACAAGGTAAATTTACCCCTCAAAGAAAATCAGTTAGAGTGTAAATTATTCGCAACAAAAGCAGGATAAATTTCCTCTAAAATGTGAAATTGATACTGTTAATATATACATGTAGTAATTCAAAGCAAAAGAAACCATCTACATGATAGAAGACTTTAGGAGATAAATTTCTCCTCAGAGAATATCATGGTACAGTATCAATGATTAGCAACATGTGGAAGATAGCAAAAATCTACAAGGTATTTTCCTCTCAAAAATGACCTTGAAGCAATTTATATAATGTAATTCAAAGCAAAAGCAACAATTTTTCTGAGAGCAAGACTTTACGAGGGACCCCCCCCCCCCAAAAAAAAAAAAAGGAAAAGAAAAGAAGAATCGGTGATACAATATTCACAATACATAGAAAAAGCAAACATTACACTTTAAAAAAAGCAGAATTGTGCAGTGTAAAATTTTCTCTCAAAAATGACATTGATATAATCTTTATATACAGTAATTCAAAGCAAAAGCGACCATCTTGATGATAGCAAGACTTTACGGGGTAAATTTTCCCCCAAAGAATATCACTGATACAGAAATTAAGATTCACAACATCTTTTAGATAACAAAAATCTACGGGGTGATTTTTTTCTCAAAGACGTTTACTAATACAGTGTAAATTATTCGCAGAAAAAAAAAACAAACAAACATTACACTTTGAAAATAACAAATACCATAAACACAATCTCTTACTTTAAGATGGTGAATGAGGGTATATGATAGGGACACGGACAAAATCACCAGTTTTCACAAAGAAATTAAAATAAACACAATCAACAGTTTTCACACAGAAATTAAAATAAACACATAAATAAGTGAACACAGATTGTTGATGTTAACTACTAGCATCAATCTGTTAAGTGAATAAAATAAATTGTGTGTGTGTGTGTGTGTGTGTATATATATATATATATATATATATATATATATATATATAGTCTTCGTAATCACAAATAATTAATTTTATTAAAAGTGAAGGGAAATATGCAGATGATGGTAAAGTCCATAAACACTATACTCATGTGCACTACATTGTAAAATTCGATAAAACTCCATGTGATATAATTTCATAAGACATAATCCTTATCACAAATAAGAAACACTTTATACATGTATGCAAAACATAAAATGAATTCCCCTGTTGAACAGAAAAATAAAATGTACATGTGTTTAAACTTGAATACATGTCACCTATTGAACTTGCAATTTTAAAATGATTACAGGTTTTAAAATGCAGATGAAGACCTTGAGAAAGTAAATTTTTGCAAGACTTTTAACTTCTTTTTCTTTTTATGAGGCTGGCCATCGTCCTTTTCTCTGTTGTTTTCGACGCCTCTTTGGTTTCGCAGCTCCTCCGCTTTCTATAAAAAAAACATTGAATATTCTACTTATAAATACTACAGACTTGCAATAATTGCAGTTCCGTTTTATTAACTTCAATACACCTTCTGATATGTACATGTACAATACATACCTTTTTTTCTTTCTCTGTTATCAATTTTACAGGTTCTTTCACAACCTCATAATTATGACGAACTCTTTCGAGAACTTCAGCAATAAGGCTGTTGCACCAATCTTTTTCCTCCGCAATATGATTTACTAATTCATTAAGCTGTCCAACATTTTTGCATAGACTGTTCGTGTAGAATGATATGCTTTCAAAACGATCGCTAAATTCTTCGTTATGTATCTGGTGAATTTTTATAAACCGTTCAACTTCATAAATAGTGTCATATATTTCGTTGCAGTACATAAGTTTAAAAGCTTCATATTCGGCTTCCTTTTTACGATGTTCAATGCTTTCTGTATGTTCTGTCAAGTTTTCTTGAGGTCTTGACTCTTTTGTGCGATCACCCCGAAATAAAAGTTCAAATGGATTATCAAGCTTTTCTAGATCGGAAGATGTCTGAAATACCTCAAATGAATCATAAACTTTGCTTTCTTCATTGACGGTTGTATCGATCGTTGTTTTTCCATTAGTTTGTTCCTCATCTGAATACGAAGAAGCAATCGCAGAATCTCTTCTTGCTGAAAGTTCTTTATGCCTATAGAGAGGACATCCACATGCGAGACATTCATTACTATTGTAACTTGAACAGCCAAGCAATGAATCTATTGCTTTTATTTTTTTCTTTAAAAGTTTTTCTTTCAACAATTTACTAATTTGAGGCACTCTTTTGTGTAGCAACACGTTACGAAAAAAATGTACGATGGTATTTGCACTCTTTTCTACAATATCTATAAGGTTTTCGTTTGAATTATGCTGTTTTATGTCAACTTTAGGATCCCGTTCATATAAAACTGTTTCTTGTTTGTTTCCTTCTAAGTTGCTTAAACTTTCACTTTCTAGGCTTCCTGTTCTTAAAGCTTTTGTACAAGGCAATGTTTTTAAGGTACCCACTTTGGATTTTGTTCTTAAACTACTCTGTGTACTTCTTATCTTTGCCTCTGTATTAGATGATAAAAACCGTTTTTGTTCACTTATTCCTATATCATTAAGTGGCATTTGAAAGTTGCCCGAACTCCATGTGTGCTCTTCCAGTTCATCGTTACATTCTTGATAAATAAAAATCAACAAAGCCTCTTGGAAATCCCGTGGCCGTGTGAACTGAATATTTTGAAAATATTCAGCGGTTTTAGTTTTCTTTCTTAATGAAGACTTCATGCTGTTATTCAAATAGCATAATTTGCAAGCCAGCATCTCTTCGATATCCGCTGCAGAATGAAACACATTTCTTATGTTACAAATCAGAAGCAGACACAACTTTAGTAATCTCTGTAAAAGTGCATACTTTGGATTGTTTTGTGTTTGTTTTCCTTCCGATTTCAAATATGAAACTGGTCTGTCATTCAATCTTTCTAATAATTGCACAATACATTCTGGAGATTTCAGGAGATCGCTACCATATTTTTTGAGATATTTCTTTTTGCACAGATCTGGAATTAAAGTGTTTTTATTGTTCCATGTCATATAAATGGACACGGCATTCACATGATATGATCTTGGAAGAACAAATTTTTGACATTCCATTGATTTGAAGATGCCAATATAGGCTGTTGTTGAAAAAAGTGCAAGACAACTAAAAAATTCCAGCCAGTACATGAGATGGGAAGAGTTTGGAAGTGGACTTATATCCTGTTGACAAAGCAAATTACAAAATTTAGAAAATTCTAATAGAGCCTCAATAGGCTTCCCGGATTTTAAAAGTATTTGACAAGACGACATATATCGACAAAGTGATGAAATGTTCATTCCATGTTCTTGATCGTAACTTATTTCAAAGCCATGAGATATCCTCCAACCTGGAGTTGTACTACATATTTCATTCATATAAGCTTCTTCTATGTCAATCAGAATTGTATCAGGATTTTCGCTTGTACGAAGATCAAAAACTTCTCTGATAAACAGGAAACTAACAAAGTATAGAATGTGATTATGTTTTACGTCACATTTCATTTTCTCGGCCATGTCATCTACAATTGATCTCATAGCTTGTCGAAAGTAGCCTTTGTGAAACTTTCGAATGCATTTTAATACTTGTATAATTCCTTCAGGTTTAAAATTTGCAAAACTTATTATACCTTCATCAGGAAACAAATCTAGCATGATATCTTTACATTTGTCAAATGATGACATGTCAAGCTTTTCTAGACTCACATTGTAGTCGATACTTCGTCTTTTAAAACTCTTGCAGCCAACTCTTACATGTGCTTCAAGTTCAACCAAATGTATATCCATTTGTATCAAATCAAGGAAGAGGTTTGTATCGGTCAGGTTTGAATCGACAAATTTTGAAAAAAGGTCATCTTTTTGTCTTGTTAGAATGTCTTCTAATATCTGCATCCATTTCTCTCCCTGCTGAATGAGATAGCGACAAATATCATTCTTCGCAGTTTCTAATTTCACTTTACATATATGATTAGATTTTTCAATTTTTGGTGAAATCTTTAGCGCAGTGGGTTTTTGTGACGGATACACAAAAAAATTTCTGTCATCATAAGTCTTATGGTAACCATAATACTCCAAAATATCCATCAATCGTTGCCTTTCGCTTTCATTTATTGGCAAAATTAAAATAGTCAATGCCTTGAAAAGAGTTTCCATACCCAGTATGCACTTAACTTGGTTTCCCTTATCCGCAAGATCTGAGTGATATATCATCCAATCCATACATTCTTGTTGTCCTGCTAAATTAGGATAAGGTCTGCAATGATTAAACTCACCAAATGCTTTATGCACATATTCTTGATTTTTTGAAACTTTTCCAATTAGTAAAGCTACTTTTCCAGCTAAAACTTTGTCTTTTGAATCATGCATAGCGTGGAAAACTCCGATTAACTTCTTACACATTTCGCTTTGAATGTTTTCAAAGTAAATTCCTTTACAAAATTGAAAATAACAATCTGCAAAAAGGCATTTGTTTCTCAATTCTCCGTCCCCAATGTTTTCTGCATATTTTAGAGCATTCTCAGTTTGACCACACTTTAAATAGAAGTCAATGAGAAGTCTTTCATGTCCTGAAATAATAAAGGTATAATGACATTCATTTTTGTTCGGTGCAAACTATATATGTAAAGAAAAAGAAAAATAAATCGAGAGTTGATCCAATTTTTGTAAAATGTCTTATTATTTTATTTAATTATTAAACGAAGTTATTGAAAATTAAAAATGGAAATATAAATGCTTCACAAGTTTTTAAATGACAATAAAAAGAATAAATATTAATAATAATAACAGTTTTGCAGTTTTCATAGAAACCGATGTTTGGGAATTCGAAAGATACATTTATTCGTACATCATTTCAATTCCTAAAACTACATGTAGTACTCACTGTAATAGAAAAAAAAACGCGTTAAGTGGCATATGAAAAGAAAATAATGTAATAATTACGATTGCATGACCTCTTATAAACCTTTGCGTGAAAGTTTTATCGATTTTACTAGGTTTTTAATTTTTCTACAGATGATTTGTTGTTTATCATAAAATCATTTGTCCATGTAAATAGATAATTATACTGACCTTTTGTTCCAATTAGTTAATTTTATGAACATTATTTTGAGTAAGTAATTGTTATAAAGGAGAAGACGTTCTAAGTGTTAAGAACTTATGTTCGATCCTTTTGTTTTAACATCTAAACAATAAAATATTTTCAACCCATCGTTAAACAACGTTGAAATTCGGTCATGTAATAATTTTTGTGAAAAGATTGAGAACTACCCGACTTGAACGCATATACTAATGACAGAGGCAAGACAATAGCTGTGAACAACTGGTTTTAAAGTAAATTGAGAAGAAATTTATGGAAAATAGAACATCCGTGGAGGAGGATGAAAGGTCTAGTTGCCGGTCGGAAAGTTGAGTTTTTTTCGTAGACAAAATGAAATCTTTAATGGACGTGGACCACTGTACTTGACATTACAATTGAAATTGAAACATCACACAGAACAAAGGAGCGTATTTTGAAAAATGATTGTAATATGGAGAAAGTGGGCGCAAGGTGAATAACTAGGCTTTTCTCGAGAGCACAAACGGAGTAAATAATACAGTGTTCCGTAGAATTTCTTAGTCGATTTGAATGTGTGTAAGATGTTCCTAGAATGTGATATATATATATATATATATATATATATATATCAACTCTAACTTATCAAATATCTCTTTTGAATTGTCATTGAAATTTTACAAACAATAACATATTCAAAAGTCTTTATATTTTATTGAATTTAAGCAGAATGGTCAAAGTTATCTTACATATACAAACAAAAGGCCCATGGGCCACATCGCTAACCTGAGCACACTGGCTAGGAAGATACAGAAATCAGTTCAGTATTGAAAAGTTTAAAGGGGGGGGGGGGGGTACACTTCAATTTACACAACCTCAGGATGCTTCTATATCAACTAACCATGGCTTCGCTGTTCTTAAACAGAAGATTTCTAAAGATCTTTCCCTATGTAAAACTCTGATTGCTCATTGTGGCCCACCCTACCCATCGTAAATTTTAACGAAGTTGAATCTACACTACCTGAGGATGCTTCTTTAATAATGTGACTAATCATGGCTTTGCTGTTCTTGAGCAGAAGATTTTTCATGAGGATTCCTATGTATTCATATGAAAAATTTTGACCTTCTGTTGTGCCCCCAAACCCTGGGGGTCATAATTTGAACGAACTTGATTCTACAATACCTTATGTTGCTTCTGTATAAATATGACTAATAATGGTTTAATTGACCTTGAGAAGAAGATTTCAAAGATATTTCCTTTGCAACGTGTATGATCAGATTCTTACAAGGGATATATCGGTTGTCCTTTTACTCTGTCTGAGTTAATGATTGGAATGATTATTAAGATAGCTCTGTCTGAGGGTGTATCACACACATATCTCTTCTCTAGAGATGGGGACTGGGTAAGGTACAACTTGCACCGTGTTTCTCCCCTAGGTCCCATTGATAGATAAGAACCAGTTGTCCCAGTATCCTTCAGATTTACTACACTCAGAGCTTAACATCAATTCCCTAGGATACTTGCCACTGGTGTTTATAACTTTTATTCTTTTATTTTGCTCTAACCCTTACATAATGTTTTCCATCCTCTAGCCTTAAATGTCCATCACATACATAATACTCTGATATTGATTTAAAGCAGTTTACAGTAGATAATGACGTACAAAGAGAAAGTTTCAAAATGGTAATTAACTAAGCTTTAAGTACTTAGTAAAGATTGCATTGAAGTTTGTGGATCAATCTTTTAAAAATGAAAATTCAATTAATAAGAATATCAATTAATAATGTAGTGGAAATATGCACTAATATACATTGGAAAAAGAATGACAATTGAAAAAGTTTTTTTTTTTTACCAGACAAGTTTCTTTTAATTGATTTTTTTATTATTTAAAAACTCTTAAAAAAAATTCAAGGTCATAAATTAGGACACATCCCACCCTTACATGCTATAGGTAATAAATGGGAATTATGTCTAAACATACTGAGTATTCAACACCTACACATCTGCTATGTATTCAATTTCATTGAATCTTTTTGCTATCAGGATGGAATATCTTGACTACTTTACTGCTGATTCATCATCTTATACAACTTCTTCCCTTAGTCTAATCAATTCCAAGGGTTGCCAGGTCATTCCACTATTTCAATGCTTTTACTCAAATGCCCCTTAACCATTACACCTATATATTTCTATGTAAACCTTGACCCACTTTTGTGGCCCCATCCTACCCCCAGAGATCATGATTTAAACAAACTTGAATCTACACTACTTCAGGATACTTCTGTATTAATATGTCTTGAAATGGCTCAGAGAAGACGAATTGTAAGGATATTTCCTACATATTCCTATGGTAAATTTTGAACCCCCCCCCCCCCCCTTGTGGCCCTGTCTTACCCCCCGAGGTCAGGATTGGAACAAACTTGAATCTACACTACCTGATGATACTTCTTTTATAATATGACTAATCATGGTTTTGCTGTTCTCGAGAAGAGAATTATTTCCTCTACATCCCTATGTAAAACTTCGCCCCCCCCCCTCTTATGGCCCCACCCTACCCGGGGGTTATGATATGAACAAACTTGAATCTAGAGAAGGTAATGAAGACTTCAAACAAGTCTTTCTCTTGCCCAGTGGTTCTTAATAAGAAGATTTTTAAAAGATGCCACAAAATTTTCACGATTTCTTAATTACCTCCCCTTGAAAGAAGGCGTAGCACTTCCACAGACTACAGACGACAGTCAGACGCCGGACACTCTTTGAGCAGAAAAGCTCACTTGAGCCTTCGGCTCAGGTGAGCTGAAAAGCAAATAAAAGATAATATTCTATAATATACTTTATTTAGATTTTTACTAAAAAACGCTATGTTTAGACTACAATTTGACTACTTTCAAAATATATTTACCTCATTTGTCTAAATATGGTGTGAGAATTTATTAATATTTTATAAAATTTGGAAACAGCAAAACTATCTCTCTATAAAAAAAAATAGTTCCTAGTGAAGCATGGAAAATATGAATCCAAACTTAGTAGCACTAGTACTGTAAATACTTCAAAAGAAAAAAAGACCATTATTCTTCTTTTAAAAAAGAATTCTTCTGCCACAAAATATAGTTACTCATTTTTTTAACATAATCTTGAGTTATGAATTATGAATGTTTTTATTAACATTGTAAAATTCTAATTTATTGTAAGAAGTAAAATATAGAGCAGAGTTTTAGAAGGAGAGTTTCAAAAAAAAATCTGCTCGAAAACTCATGATCAATATTTAAATGTACCTGGTGATTGTAGTAAAGATATTGCTTCTTCGGTACGATTCCTCTCTGCCAGAAAATCTACTCTATCTTCAAGCTCTGGAATTTGTTGAAGGAATGACAACATTTTGTCAACTTTCCCCTGTAAGTGGTACTTATCAGCAGCCATCTGACTTAATTGAATTATTGTTTGAACAGGAGTTGGTGAATTTTCTCGAAGCTTGTTCGGCAATGGCTCGTTTTTCTTTTCGTAATTCTTAAATTAACAGAAAATAATGAATCAAATTTAAAAAAAAAAAAAAAAAAAAAAAAAAAACATTAAATATGTTATCAAAATTTCAAATTTCTAAAAAAAAATTGAAAGTCCTAAACTCGATTTACCTCTTTGAACTAAAGAGGTTTTTATACCTGTTTTAGGTACAGATATCTATGAAGACACTCAATTGCAACTTCGAATTGCTTCTTAGCGCAAAGGAGATCTATTGCTTGTCTAAATTTTCCAACTTCTTCAAGGCATCTGCTGGCTTTTAATGGATCTCCCTTTGTTTCATATACTTCAGCTGCTTTTTCGAGCTTAAAAACATATTTGTTTTTAATATTATTTTATTGCATAGCCTTGTAAATCACAAAAGTCATGCATCAATATCGTATATACTGAAAAGAAAGGTTTTCCAAAAAATAATTTTGAAGTGACTGCACATGTATTACGTAATGTTGGTAAACTTTTCCTTTAAATCTGAAGGACAACATCCTGTATCGCTTTGAAATCATACTGTTCCTTTGGAATTTATTCATTAACAGTCTGAAATCTTACCGTAGGTATTCTTATAATTACCATAATTACTTTCATTTGCTCCAAAATATCATTTTTAAATAAGACAGAAAAATACAAGAATGATTTTAATAATGTTATTTGACAAATGTTGTAGGACAAAGGAATATACTTGATTCGTATTCTCGAAAAGAGTCGCAAGTAAAGAATGTTCCTTTGCGAATTCAAGATACTTCGCCGCTTGAGACGGCATTTCACACTCCAGAAAGTCGTATGCAGCAGAAAGAAACATATCCTTCATTTTTTTAGTTGTGGAAGATTTGCCTCGCAACCTGGAAGAAAACATGAAAATTAAAATTGGATCCCTGATTTAAGCTCAACCCAAGGTCAATTTGAGAAAAGTTTAGTTTGCTTAACATTGAAATTTAAATAGCAATACAGTTTAGTGTTTCTTGGGAAGAAATAACAATTTCTTTTCAATATTCCTTCTGTAAAAAAATTCTCTTATTGTCGTCCGACCTCCCCCCCCCCCCCCTTCCCCCAAATCAAAATATTAATTGTATTTTGATCAATAACTCTATACTTTTTATGCTGAATATTTACAATTTGTTATTTACTTACAGGTTTTTTTTTTTATATTTTCTGATTCCATTTTAATAAAGTGACCGTCTTGTCATAAACTCGAATAGCTGCAGAAGTGTAGCGTTATGATTTTACATGTATATTTTAGTCTGAACATAACGCTTCAGATCCCGTAATGCAAATATTGTGCGATGTGAATATTGTGAATTTCATGCCATCTGACAACAAATTCAAAATAAGTGAGTTTATTGGTCTGCAATGACGACTAGAAAGGGTTAGGAGATGGATAAAATATACATTTTGGTTATAGAATATGTTTAGAATTAGGGAATGAAAGGTCGTTGATTGACCAATGCTGGAAAGTGCCGAAATTCATCCCCAAAGTGCGCAGAAAATCTTGCGCTGTAAATTGCACAATATTTGTATTAGGGGATCTGTAGTGTTATGGTCAAGGACTTAAATATAAAACCATAACGCTACAGTTCTGCAGCTAAAACTCGAACCAACAGCCTTGTTGTCGTTGATTCCATATTAAGACCATCACACAAGTCTGTTATATGTCTTAGGTTCGACGCGGCGCGGCGAATGAAAATTGAACCCCGGCCTCCCGATCACGAAGCAAGCGCCATACCACCAGACCGGTTCCTTGTTTAAATTCGTATTGATATTGAAAAATTTGCAAATAATAAACCGTGGTTGTACATGCATATAATCAATTACATCAAAGCTTCCTGTGCTTTTTGATGAGCATTTGCGATTTTAGCCATTTTCATATCATTTCCTCGACTGAAGCAGATTGCTGCAATCTTGTACACTGATTTTTTCATGAACTCCATTCCCCGATCTAGCCAATCTTCTTGAGTTGAATCTTCAGCATGCATAAGAACACCTAAAAAGGACATAGTAATTTTAAACACACAATGTTTCAAATGATTTTATCCTTTTAAATGAGATATTTTCCCGACTTCTGTAAAGTGTTGATTATATAAATAGTACATTTTAATATAAAAAAAACCCTCCCCCCTTTTTTTTATGTTAACAAAAGATCAATTATACACTGTACAATTGTCATTGATTGGAAGAGAAAATTCTGGTAAGTACAACAATACAGTTTTCAACTATATATTTACAAAATTAGTTTCAGTTGATTAAATTATCTTAAAACCTGTAAATGAAAAAAAAAATCACTTCAGCAGTTTTGACTCATAATCTATATTGAAATCTATAATCAATTCAATACATTATTACGATACACGCACGATGTTTTGCTCACAAAGCCAAGCAATTTTAGAAAAAAGAATAATATTAGAATAAGATATAGAAACACGTATTTGAATTTTTTATTTGTATATTGCACAATGTCCGCCATATTTGTTTGTCCGTAGAGTAGCGATTCGCAATATTGCACTTGTATGGGTTACGTTTATAATTTTAATAACTCAGGTGTGTGTAATTGTGTTATCTGAGATGTCTTCCTTATCTATAAATTTCATGATTTGTAATTTTCTACATTAGCTTGTTAGTAAAACTTTTCTACGTGTATGCGGAAGTAGGTTCCATTCATTCCTCCAAAGCTCAAGAATAGTATTGAAGCCATCCAGTGCCTTCAACCCGTTTCAAATATCAAAATCTTAAGAACTTTATAAGATATCTTCCGGAAACTAAAGTGTTACACACAAACAGAATGACAGAGAAATAAACAGACAGGGCCAAATTAATACCTCCTGTTTTCAGTGAAAAAGAATGGCAGGCATTATTGATGAAAATAGATCAGCATGCCAAGCTAATATCAAACTCCTTATAATCACCTGAAATTCGCGTAATATGCTTATTAACCCCGTTATGATACCATTTTTCATCGTGACTAAATTCATGTTGGATTAGCTTTTCACTTGGCAAATGTTTGATATGCAATCAGTTTTAAGTGTAAGGTATTCACCCCCCCCCCCTTCTTGACAAATATTTCGTTATTAAATCTTCAGATAATGAAAAAAAATATGATTAAAAACTTTCATTTTTTGCATTAAAAATGGAAATAAAAATTCAATCAAGTTCACGTCATTTAAGGTTACAATGAAGTCATTTTGTATCGCTGCCAAGTCATAATATCTGGATGTAACCTAAAACATATCCTTTCTCTCTCTCTCTCTCTCTCTCTCTCTATATATATATATATATATATGTATATATGTATGTATGTATGTATTGTATATTTTTCGTTTAATTAGATCCTAAACGTTGGTGTAATTTGAAAGCGGCAGAATATTAAATATTCGTTAATTGATCAAATGCTGAAAAAAAGTGTCATGAAGCTTTCGATAAGAATTTTTTTTTTCTAATTGACTCATATTTATAGTATATGTAGAGGATATCTATATTATATGATTTCATATTTGCTTTATCCAACGATGTGAAATGATAAACTGCGTATATTAGCGAGGATTGTCGAGCGAATATAAACAATTTCAACATGCTGAATAAAGAAAATAACAAATCACACAATTAAAGATGTTCTATTTATCACAGACATTTCTCATTTTTAACAAAAACTTTGAGATAACCCGTGAAATTATGTTGATTGATTTCTACCCAAATCGATGACGCGTAAATTGATAATATAGCGTTTCTCTACTATATTCTATTACTATACCCATGGTGATGGCGGAACAAAGAAAACACTATGATAAAAATAATCCGCGATTTTTAGTGCCCGCTGTATACTATATAAATGTACAAATACAATAATGACAGAGCTGACAGAGACACGTCTGTACCCTGCAGCAGATGCAAGAGAAACACGTCTGTACCCTGCAACAGAAAAGGAGAGCGAGGATAGGTACACGTCACGGCAGGTGCGTGTCGTGTACCACGCGTGCGTGGTCGGAGGTAGCAGGGCAATCCGTGCCCAGCACCTCAGAGACCACTACGCTCCTCCCCATTTTGAAAAAAGGCGTCCCAGCCCGTTACAATGGGACAAACTATAATGTACATAAAATATAACAATTAAATCCTAGCAGGGCCTAACGCATTAAAAACAATTATACATAATCAATTACACATTAATGTCCATAATAAAACTATAAAATTAATAAAAATTAACAGTTAATAATATCACAGTTCACAGGATACATCACGTCAGTCTGATCCTGGGCATCCCTCTTCCGAGTCCACTCGGGTCCACCTCTGGGTCCATCGTTGTCTCCCTCATTAGGTGGTCCTCCGGTGACATCCTCGGTCGGCACTTCTTGATCCGGACATCCGAGCCCAGGACAGACATGATATCTAGCGTGATATCACGTCCGCGACTCCGTCGCGAACGACCTATCCTGGAACTGGCTCCAATTCATCGTCCCTGGAACATCGGGCTACATAAATCTCAGGAACATCATGATAAATGGATCTATCATCAGATCAGGGCAATATCCCTTTATAATTAAAAAGATCTGCTTTCCTAGCAGTAAGAACAAACATATATACAATCACGCTAGCAAACAGCTACACATGCTTCCGCACCCTTGCGGGATCCTAACCTAGGGATTGCTAACACTGATGGGACTGCAATTCGGGGCAAGTATATTGAGGTACTGATTTAGCATAATCCTCACTTATACCCACACACCTGTGATGAAACCAGTCCCGGCAACTGTCGCACTGGACCATCAAACCTTTAGGGTTGGATTGTAAGCATAAACAATACTGTCGGGTCTTAGCCCCCTTAGTGGCTCTACGTCGTTTGGGCGATTTGGGTTTTTCTGGTTGTTCTGACCTTTCCCTTACCCGTTTCCGGGTATCCAGATATGGACCTACTGTTTTCGCTGGTTTAGGGCTGACTTTAGACTTACCTCCACTGCCCGGGTCCCCAGGACTTGACCCTGAGTCCGCAGTTCCCATCGGTCTAACCACGTCGCGCACAAGGGAACTATTCCCACCTCGGCCTACTGACTGTCCGGGCAACTTGCTCTGATCAGTAACTAACCACTTGGGAAGTTGCCTGGCCTCACACTTCTTAAGCTTGTCATGGTGCATGACCTTGACATCGCGCCGAGATTTGACGACAAATATTGTGTCGGATTTGGCTTCGGTTATGATACCTGGATCCTTCCAGATAGACTCGACTTTCTTTCCCGCATTGCGGCGCCAATACACCAAATCTCCGACCTTGAACTTGTGGGTACGGATCTTAACGTCGTGCGACCTTTTTTCATTGCCTTTTGCGCGACCTTCAATTTCTTGCGGGCAATGTCATGCGCGCTCTGCACGTTCTGTTCCAGATCACGTACATACCTGTCAACCTCACCCTCCTCCCCATTTTGAAAAGATTCCGAAAGGGGTGGGGAAAACATCAAGGTTGCTGGTATGTTAACTTCCCTACCCAGCATTAGACGATTTGGCGTATATCCGGTGTGGCGATTCACCGCCGACCGCAATGCCCCAGCCAGTGGACCCAAAAACCTATCCCATGTCTTGGGCTGACCATCAATGTAGCAGCAGACCGCATCCATTACGGTGCGGTTACCGTTCTACTTGGCCATTCCCGGAAGGTCTGTATGGCGTTATGAATACCTAACATTGCACAGATTTTACAGAAAAGCTCACTTTCAAAATTACGGCCTTGATCTGTAAAAATTTCATAAGGGTAGCCAAATCGCGAAAAGAAATCGTTTATGGCTGACTTAGCCGTAACCTCCGCTGTTTGAGATGGGAGCGGAATGCACTCAACCCACTGGGTAAAGTTATCTACCATCATGAGTATATACTCATTTCGGTTTTTTGTTCGGGGTAGCGGCCCAAGAAAGTCTAAGTGCACTCTCTCCATCGGACTTCCGACCTGGAAGCTTTTCATTTCCGATTTATTCGGCAAACAACCCCTCTTATTCCGGACACAAATGTCGCATGTCCTGACATATAACTTAATGTCCTTGACCATCCGCCACCAATAGAGCTATTGTTTAAGTCTCTCTTTAGTTCTTTGTATACCCTGGTGACCGGACGACGGAATGTCATGACATAAGTGCATGACCTCAGACCTAAGACTCTTCGGAACTAACAATCTACGAGGCATATCCGAGTCTTCCGGTTCTCGCCAAATAACACCTGTCTCGTCCACTGTAAAACAGTCTCTTTCCAGAAGATAACATTTCTCTTCCGGACTACAGATTATCATGTCACTTTCGGTAGGTAAACTCCCAGACTCTAAGTACTGTCTCGGGTAAACCATGGCCTCATCTGATTTCTGTTTATGAGCCATATCTGCGGGGCTGTATAAGGATAGGGAAATTCCCACAGTGTCACCTTGAGTTAGCTGATAAACTTAAGGTTTCACTTCCTCAATCTCGGGACTTAAACTCGACACCCCATTGACAGCCATTTCAAAACTCGGAAGTTCAGGGGTACCTGCTGTCAACGGAACATCTTCCCAAGTACTTGTCACAATAGCCTGACCGAGAGTGGGATCTAACATCTCATAATTACCCCCCTCAGCTGACTGAGTCTCCGCTGTCAAAGGCGATTCCTCAAAGAGCTGGTGGAATTACATCGTCAATTTCGGTATTAAAGTCATGCCAGCGCTCATGTGCTCGGCGGCAATACCTGCATCCGCCACATGGCAAATCTTCTACTCTGATTTTAGTCGAGTAATTCTGGCAAGTGTCTGGTATGTCTCTGGACAGCGCATCGGCATTCACATGCTTCTTGCCTGGGCGATGGACTATCCGCATATTGTACTGGGTCAGCTCTTCTAACCAGCGAGCAATCTGATTCTGCGGATGCTTAAAGTTCATCAGTCAGACCAGGCTATGGTGGTTTGTCAGGACTGTGAACTCCCTGCCCAGCAGGTAATGGAGGAATTGTCTAGTAAACTTGACTATTCCTTTCTAGTAGTGCATTACTTACGCTGTTCTGATGACAGCACTGCGCTGCCATGCCCAATGGTTCACTTCCATTCTGGACTTGGTTAAGTTCCCCGCCTACGGCATGATACGAGGCGTCAGTATCCAGAATGAAGTGACCTGTACTGTTCGAAATAGCAGGTATTGGGGGTTTGGTCATTAACTGGATGAGTTCCCCGAAGGCACTTTGTTGTTCAGCCCCCCATCGGAAACCACTCTTTCCGGTAACCGCGTACAGCGGAGCCGATATTCTCGAGAACTGGGGAATGAAACTACGGTGATAGCTGGCGAAGCCTAGGAAACGCTCAACGCCCTTCACGTAGCAAGAAACAGGCCAGTCACGTACTGCCTCAATGTACTGGTCCCCCATCTCGACTCCGTGCTCGCTCACGGTTCTACCTAGGAGCTCAACTTTAGTTTTAAATAGCTCACACTTCCGAGGCTCGGTCCATAGGCTCGGAATCGCTCAAACATTTGTCTCAGATTATCATGGTGAGCATGTGCTGAAGCCCCCAGCAATAATGCATCATCGAGAAAAGCTAATGCAATTTTCCAGTTAAGTCTGTGCAATACCTGATTGATGGCCCTAGCGAAGGTCGGGTTCGAAGACCAAACCCCATTCTTGTGAATTCAAATAGTCCGTATTTGATAATAAAGGCTGTCTTTTTCCGGTCTTCCGGGGCTATTTTAATTTGCCAATAGGCCGCATTGGCATCCAGTTTTGAAATCCAGCGGTTTCCCGCTAGCTTGTCCATGCACTCTTCGATGAGTGGTAGAGGGTACGTGTCCTTGACTGTCACCTTATTCAGGGCTCTGTAGTCCACGCACCAGCGGACACTACCATCCTTCTTCCTGACTAGGAGCGGGGCAGACGCCCAATCTGAGGAAGATGGCTGGATAACTCCGGCCTCTAACATTTTGTCTAGATGACCCTCTTCCTCCCCCTGGAACACAGCAGGAGTGCGGCGCATCCGCTGTTTAACGGGAAGTGCATTGCCAGTATCTATACGATGCTCTATCTCGGAAAAGTTTCCGAGGTCAAGGTCTTCTACAGCAAAGACATCAGCAAATTCTTTAACTAGCTCTACAGCCTGAGACTTCACCCCCACAGGCGCACTCTTCCCTAACTGATCTAGGAGTGGGGTTATATGTTGATAACTAATTCCCCCTCCGCTGACATGCGGCGCACTGTGGGATCGGTACTCTTAACAGACATAGCAGGAGCAGCTTCCCCTACTTTAGTACCAGTCTTGATTATATGTCGGTCAGGTTTAGGATACATAGCTTGGCCTTATTTCCTGCGGCATTGTATGTCCGCGAAGCTACTATACCAGGCGGAAATATACTGGCGGGTTACAGCATAAATTCTGGCATATCGGAACTAAGGGTGCACTCGATAACTTGGGCAGTGTGCGGAGGAACCCGCACTATGCGGACTGAAACCGCATCGAGTACTGCCACTGTCTTATCAGCACTTAGGGCGAAAATCTTATCAATGCCCTTGACCTTTAATGTGCCGGCTTCACAGGAAACTTCTGCACCGTGTGCACGCAGGAAGTCAATTCCCAAAAGCATTTCGTCTTGTAAGGGGCCAACATAAATCGGGTGAACAAAATCATAATCCCCGATGCGAAGATTTAAACTTCCGAGGTACTGGGCGGTCATACCAGCCCCCTCGCCTGCCAGCCTGACATAAGTGTCCCTAACAATATCGGACTGCGGCCTCAATGACTTGTACACCTCCCCCGAGATTATCGTGATGTCAGCTGCAGTATCAATAGTCGCCATAATTTGCTGGCCTCCTATCTGTATAGGGATACGCCACGCACCAGAGCCTATACTTTGACTACCTGACATTATAGAGGGAATAACATAAGTGGCCTTGACATTTGGAGTTTCAGAAAAGGTCACCCTATTAGCACTAGACGAACGCTCCCTAAACCTAGTCTCGGCAGATTTTTGCAGACACGAGCACAGGGACTCTGGGTTGCTCCTATACGGACAATTCCGCTGTATGTGTCCCGGTTCTTTGCATTCATAACAACCTACTGTCCCTGAACTCTTTGAGCGCCCTTGACTCACTGATTTTTCCCCTCACGGTCTACGAGTGAGGCTACGGCCCCTACTACTCCCCCTAGAGTAGCGAGTGGAACCACTTTCCAGTCATCTGACTTATCTCGGCACTCGGAGTCCGAGAGCTTACGTCGGTGAGCAGGAGGCGAGCGAGAATCTTCCCGCCCTTCACGGTCCCGCTCTGAGGAAACGGACCTTACGGCACGTGGACGACGAACCTCTGCTCGGTGGCTGAACTGGTAAGTTTTTACTCTTTTTATTGCCTCCGCCAGAGTACATGGGGGGTTATTGATCAACTGTAGACCCGCCTTACCATCACTGCAGCCAAGAGCAAATCTAACAATGAGCAGCTCCTGGCATATTTCTGGCGAGGTTCCGCCACCAAAGGCTTCTGGGCAGTGTCCATGACTCTATCTGCCCACTGTTCCATCGTTTCTTCTGGCTTTTGGGCTATCGAGCTGAATTCCATCTGTGAGGCTTCCCTCCATCCGGACGACAACTTCTCGGAAACTTAACAGGGCTTTAACTTAACTGCGACGCAGGATATTGAAGTATTTGAGCGCTGCCCGCTCCAATGTCAAACTTAGGGCAAACAGACGATCGGGGTCACCCCACTGATGGTATTCAGCGATTTGAATAGAATGGTCCCCACTCTACATCCCCACTGTACTTCATCCACTTTATTTCAGCTGGAATATCCCTGCTCACGCTACTCCGAGTACCAGGAGGAATTAAACTCGGAAATTGGGATGTATCAGCAGTAGTCATTAAAGTGTGACCATGAGGTACCCAAGACCAACCGCCAATTCCAGGTACAAATGACTGTCCTCCCCCTTGTGCCACCGACTGCCCTACCAACCCACCATAGTAGCCAGAACCCTGACTACCTAAGTTAGCTGCACTAGAATACACAGATGCAGTGGGTGCTGTAACTGGCATGCCCATAACCCCAGCAACATGACCAAGGACGGGTGGGACCATGCTGGGATGTATAAGATTACCCCCCCCCCCCACTCATCGTGTCCCCTGATAAGAACGACCCAAATGTAATAGTACTCGGCAAGCCAAAGCCTAGGCTAGTGTAGCTATTGAAGAAAGTGGCTGTCCTTGAGATGCGGAAACAGACGTGACCTCGGAATTATAGATAGAAACTGGTCCGGGATTCGATAAACTAGCTACGGGCTGCTCAACGGGAAGGCACTGCTCTGGCAATGAGCTAGGAACCCAGGGACTCCCCTGGCTAGTAGTCATTACAGACGGACTGGCAGTGACCTTGAGCTCCTGCGGTTTAGATACTGACTGCGATTTATCAGATTTCATCATTCCCGCAAGCATTTGAGTTATTTCACTTAACTGAGTCCCCATATTTGATTCCATAGAACCCATTTGAGACGTCACGTCGGTTTTCAGGGTTTCCCATCTGAGATATCACATCGGTTCTAAGAGTCCCCATCTGAGATGTCACATCGGTTCTAAGAGTCCCCATCTGAGATGTAACATTGGCTTCTAATGAGCCTATATCGCCCCGCAGATCTCCTACATCCTGACCAAGGCTATCTTCTCTGCTATTAACCTCACCAAGGTCACACTGAACTTGTGTAATATTTCCTTGAATCTGACCCATTTCCCCTTGAATTCGGTCAACGACCCCCTCCGGAATAGTCTGTCGTTCCTGGAGCAGGGAATAAAACTGCTGGAAACCGGGCGTCTCCAAAGACCCATCAGAATCAGCCCCCCGTGTAAGCGACATGTCTCCGCCCCCATACCGGGTGACATCCGGGGCACCCTTCCCCTAGGGCATCGGTGTGCTACACACACCCCGAGCAAACCTAACGCTTCCGGAAGGCGGGACTTCCCGCGGACTGCGCCCTCCCGGGGTCTTCTCCAGACCCTCTTGGTCATTTCCCCCAACACGAGCGTCCCAGTCCCCACTAGGCCTCAAAGTCCCCCTCCCCAAACCAGACCCTCTTGGTCATTTCCCCCAACACGAGCGTCCCAGTCCCCACTAGGCCTCAAAGTCCCCCTCCCCAAACCAAAGGAACTGAAATCACGATCCATCTCGCCCGGCACCCTCAAAACGGCACAAATATAAATTTACATGAGGCGGTTAATCCGCTAAACAAGAGACGCAAGTATAAACGTATATACAAAATAAAATAAAACAAATACTGCTGCCTTACGTCTCGGAAAATATACAAGATGGCGACGGGCACTTACACGTGCAGGCCAGGTATTACCCCGCAGTTAAACTAAAATACCCTGGAACGCCGCGCCAATATAGCGTTTCTCTACTATATTCTATTACTATACCCAAGTACGGTGATGGCGGAACAGAGAAAACACTATGATAAAAATAATCCGCGATTTATTAGTGCCCGCTATATACTATATAAATGTACAAATACAATAACGACGGAGCTGACAGAGACACGTCTGTACCCTGCAGCAGATAACAGAAAAAGAGAGCGAGGATAAGTACACGTCACGGCAGGTGCGTGTCGTGTACCACGTGGTCGGAGGTAGCAGGGCAATCCGTGCCCAGCACCTCCGAGACCACTACAATAACGTCGCACTGTTGACGTCGACATGCCGAAAAAAAGTTATTTATAGATCAAAATATTAAATCTTGGAACGATATCTGTTGCGTCTTTTGAAACATATGTAACAATCTTTAGAAGATTCACATTATACAAACTTTTGACTGGATATTGCCGAGGAATAATGAACCCTACTCTGAAATCATTCTGTGTACGGCGACAGTGTTACTTGTAGTACCATAGTAAGTTTTATAGTTTAATGTAAGAAAGCATTGTTGAAAGTGGCGACACTTTCCTGCATAGTCAAATGAATCTTGCACTACCAACTTCACTATGAAAACGATTGGGGGATAACATTCGTTATCGCATTGGCCAGTAAAAAATGGCATTTCATTGAGGTAAAACGAGTCTCTTTTTTGTTGTAATTGTTGTTTTTAAGAGATTTTTTTTTCTTCATTGGCATTCATTTGACAACAGAAGAATTTCACAAATATAAGTTCCCATCAACGTAAAAGCGAGGATTTGTGTTTTAACTGGAAGTGCTAGTGATGATGCAAATCCGTGGATAAAACATAGTTAATCTTATGGGTATAGTATCCACCACACGTTTGAGATGAATAAATAAAGATACAGAAATTCTTCATTTACACAAACTGGACACTATATTGAAGATGATAATTCTATATATTTCGCTACATCTCAAAGCCCTAACTTATTTTTACAAATACAACTTATCAATGTTTATTAAAACATCAATCTGATGGTAATTCATCCTTTGTAAAGTATAAAATTACTTATCATAACAAATAGAATATAAACTATATACAAGAAAAGATGTGGTAAGAGTATGCATGAAGAATTCGCATATGTTTGACCTGTTCGTGACGTACATATACATGATTCAATTTAATATAGTAAATGTTTTAATACATAATTTTGTTACTAGGGATAATATGATTTAAATACCTGCTTCTTTACTATCTGTTATATTTTTAGCCACCTTCCGAGTTCTGAAATATTCAAACATTGGGGCTCGTTGCTCCTGGTCTGCGTCAAATATCCAGACACGGACTCTAGCTCTTGTGACAGCTGTGTACAAGTGTTTCAGTTCTGTATTCAGCACCTTATGCTTAATTGGGTCAAACTGCAAAGGTCTAGACCGCGTTTGCTTTTCTTTGAAGGCTTTAATATATATACAAAAAAATAGATTGTATTTAAATATAGACAAAAAAATCCGCAAAGGGCCGGACACATTTGCATTAGAATAGAATTTATAGAATAGTTAGGAATTTTAATTCACATCATAACTTTCAGTTAAACGAAATGAACTTATATGAAAATTTTGAAGACTCAATGATAACGACATTCTTCGTCATATCAAGCACGAACTCTATACTATGTATACGTTTTACCGTTTTCTCCGGTGTGCTCGTTTTGTTAACTCTGCACATATCGCTGAGCATGGACTGACAGTACTGGTGAGCTGAGTTTCTAAGATTTCTGTTCTAAATTTTCTGGATCGTAGTCAATCCACACAACAAATTTTCCGTTTTCTTAAATATAATTATAAAATCAACTTCATGAGGTGCAAGGATGAAATATGGATATAACAAACCGGATACAAGTTCAAAAGTCCATCGAACAGTACAAATTAGGAGCAGAGCAAACACGGACTTCTAAAACATCAGAGGTGGGATCAGGTGCCATGGAGGAGTAAGAATCCCCTGCCGACCGGTTACACCCAGCATGTGCTCCTTGTCATGATGGGGAAAAACAGAAGAATCAGTCGACATTTAAGTGTCTTAATAATGGCCTTACAATCAGTATGAAAAACGTCAGTCAGCGTTTGACTTAATTATATATTGTATCTGCTGACAAGGTTATTGCATCGACCATAGAACTTGCAAAATGATGACCTTGATCAAATTGTTGATATTCTTGCTTCATCAACTTTTTTCTCAATAGTTTTCCTCGTTTTAGAAATTGTTCGTTTGTAGTGCGTGTCTGTCAATCAAACGCGGCCTCGAAATTCATAGCCAAATAACTTTTATATAAAAGATGTTCCCAAACATTTTTAATAATATTTCAATGTAAAATGCTCTAGCAGCAAATAAATAATGAAATTATACTAAAAATTATGGGTATAGAAAAATTTGCTTTCTGTGTCCGAGCCCAATTAAACATATCAGATTAAAAAAAATATTATAAAAAGGGGGGATCAATATACCACCAAAGTCTATTTCAACAAAGCTTTCAACTTCATCTTGAGATGTTGATTCATTCTCTTCAGATGTTAGTTTTTCCAAAAAACTGCTCACAACTCTCCATTCCTTACCAGCCTTTAAAATAAAACATGTAGTTTTGTTTCTAGTTTCTACTCTATCATATTGTTTGTCAAGATATATATATATATATATATATATCTATCTATCTATCTATCTATCTATCTATCTATCTATATATATATATATATATATATATATATATATATATATATATATATATATATATATATATATATATATGTAAAATTTTTTCCCCAGATTATATAACATGAAGCCCAAGGGTTTAACGATCACCTGAGTATAATACAACAATTAGGAGGATCCACAGAGAGTATAAAATAAACTAGAAATATTTCCATAGGACATAAATGCCCCGCCGAGGGTATATTAGTAATGCAACATGAAAATTTGCATTAGTTAATGAAATTTGATGAGAATACCTTGAATAGTTTCTTAAAAATTGCAATTGATATCTAAAAAGTTGGATACAGATGATAAATTCTCACCAAATTATGTATAAGTGCATAAGCTTACATAAATATATCTTAAATGGTTTCTTTAAAATTAAGCAAAATGCAAATTTAAGAAAAGTGAGGTGAAGGTCACAGGAAAGTTAAAGGTCAAACGTTTTTGATGCAGTTGAATAGTTCTCATAAATACGTATAAGCATATTATGTTTGATAAAAATAATTTGAATGGTTCATTTAAAACTGAGCTAAACACTTATCTTAAATAAATGAAGTTAAGGTCAAAGGAAAGGTCAAGGTCAAAAAATGTTGATGCAGTTGAAAAGGTCACATCAGTATGTATTAGCATATGAAGTTTGATAAAAATATTAATGGTTTCTTTTACGCTGCGTTAAACACAGAAAAGTGAGTTCAAGGTCAAAGGAAAGGCTAAGGTCAAAAACTATTGATGCAGTTGAATAGCTCTCATCAGTATGTATTAGCATTTGAAGTTTGATAAAAATATCTTGAATGATTTCATAAAAACTGAGCTAAACACTAATCTAAGAAAAGTGAGGTTAAGGTCAAGGGAAAGAAAGGTCAAGGTCAAAAAATGTCGATGCATTTGAATAGCTTACATCAGTATGTATCAACATATGAAGTTTGATTTCACTCTTGAATGATATCTTTGAAACTGAGCTGAACTCTTATTTAAGAAAAGTGAGGTCAAGGTCAAAGGAAAGGTCAAGGTCAGAAAATTTTGATGCAGTTGAATAGCTTACATTAGAATGTATCCACACATAAAGTTTGACAACAATATCTTGTATGGTTTCTTTGAAACTAAGCTTTGAACTGAGCTATACGCAAAGCGTGACGGAAGGACGGAAGACGGACATGACAAACACTATATGCCCCGGCCATATTCATGGCGGGGCATAACAAATAGATGTAACTTTTTTTTTACCCAAAACCAAGAGAAATAGGATGATCAGGATCAACGAAATAATAAGTCTAGTATTCAGTAACAACCCATAAATTAAATTCCAATCTGTTCCCTATATATTTATCACCATCGCCATGCAGACTATGAACAAACTATTATAACTTCTGTACTATTATTTACTCAATAATTAAACCTCTCATATTGTCTTCTCAAGACCTTTGAAGAACATTTAATAAGATAAATTATTTTCTCTTATTTTTATTTATCTATTCTTTACAGGTCTACCTGACTTCTAAACCAAAGAAAGTACTTTTTAGATTATACGATAAAAATTCTTGCATATTTTCTCTTATTCCATTAACCTTTTAAATGCATTATTTACATTTATTATTGAATGCTGTTCGTTATCTTCATATTTTATTACATCACTGAAGAGAAATAATTTGTCGAAATGCGCATTTGGGGAATCACAATTGGTACTTTATTTCAAAATTAAAGATTATACCCTTTATACATAGTTCTGATCCCTCGACGTGTTTTGCTCCAGTCCTTGACCCCCTCCTCCCCCCCCTTTCAGCTTTTCAAAGTTTTTAATTTAGATATCTTGGGTTTCCAGCGTTTCGGCATGAGCATCACTGAAGAGACATAATTTGTCGAAATGCGTATCTGGTGAATCAAAATTAGTACCGCCAGAAGAATTAAAGTTTTAAAAAAATTGTAAGAAACATCCTTGTTCATCTTGACCATGCGCTTCGCTTATCTGCTCAACACTAAGGAGCAAACATGATTATTAAATAAAATTAATGCATTTCCACTTTATTATCAATAGAGCCCCACCCTTATACGAGAACATCTGACCAAGGAGATATGAAGTCCAAAACCTGGAGCAGAGAAGAAGATATTATCAAAGAATTAATGCATTATCACTATATAATCAATAGAACCCCGCCCTTATACCACAACTTTTGACCCAGATACACCCTGCTTCTCAAAATCATGCACACAGTTTTAGTTCAGCTGAGTCGAAGGCTCAAGTGAGCTTTTCTGATCGAAATTTGTCCGTTGTCTGTCGTCGTCATTGTCGTAAACTTTTCACATTTTCATCTTCTTCTCAAGAACTACTTGGCCAATTTCAACTAAACTTGCCACAAGGTATCCTTGGGAAAAGGGGATTCAAGTTTGTTCAAATGAAGGGTCATGCCTTCATCCAAGGGGAGATAATTATGAATTCGTGAAAAATGAATGGGATCATTCATTGAGGTAGTGTAGATTCAAATTTGTTCAAAATCATGACCCCCGGGGGTAGGGTGGGGCCATAATGGGCAATCAAAGTTTTTCCATATGAAATATCGGAAACATCTTTAAAAATCTTTCTCTCAAGAACAGCAAAATCATGACTGGTCATATTTATATGGAAGCATCCTCAGGTAGTGTAGATTCAAGTTCGTTCAAATCATGACCCCCGGGGATAGGGTTGGGCCACAGTGGGCAATCAAATTTTACATAGGAATATATAGGAAAAATCTTTAAAAATTTTTTTTCTCAAGAACAGCAAAGTAGTGATTGGTCATATTTATATGGAAGCATCCTCAGGTAGTGTAGATTCAAGTTTGTTCAAATAATGACCCCAAGGGGTAGGGTGGGGCCACAATGGGCTATGAAAGTTTTACGTAGGAATGTATAGGAACAATGTTTTAAAATCTTCATTTCATGAACAGCAAAGTGCGATTGATCGTATTTATATGGAATCATACTCAGGTAGTGTAGATTCAAGTTTGTTCAAATAATGACCCCAAGGAGCTAGGGTGGGGCCACAATGGCGAAGAAAGTTTTACATAGGAATACATAGGAACAATCTTTAAACTTTTTTTTCAAGAACAGCAAAGCCATGTTTAGTCATATTTAAATGGAAGCATCCTCAGATAATATAGATTCAAATTTGTTCAAATCATGACACCCCCGGCCCCCAGGAGAATAGAGGGGATACAAGAGGGGATCATGGTTATACAAAGGATATATCAATAAAAATTTTCTTAAGAACAGCAAATTTATTTTTTGTTATATTAATTGAAAAGCATCCCTATGAAGTATTGATTCAAGTTAGTTCAAATAAACACTCCCCCTCCCCCAATCACTTTTATATTTAAACTTTTCAAGACTGAACTGATTTCTGTTTTTCCCTAGCCAGAGTGCTCAGGTTAGTGATGTGGCCCTTGGCCTTTTGTTTAAAATAATACCCATGAGCAGAGAAGATTTTCAGCGAGTTAACGAGTTTATGAATTTTCGCTATATTATCAATAGATCCCCGCCCTTACAACCGAACCTCTAACCCAGAGACCATAAAATTCTCAATTTTGAAAAGGCAGCCTTGGTTATCATAACTATGTACTTAGTTTTTTTCAATACCAAGGAGAAATGAAGAAGATTTTCAACGAAAAAATGCATTTTCACTATACAACCAATGTAGCCCCGCCCTTACACCAGGACCTCTAACCCAGGCTCCATGAAATTCACAATATCGAAACAGACACCCTTGTTCATCATAACTATATACTTAGTTTGTTTAATACCCAGGAGAAGAGAAGAAGATTTTCAACGAATTAATGCATTTTCAATATACAATCAATAGAGCCCCGCCCTAACACTAGAATCCCTAACCCAGGGGCCATGAATTTCAACATTTTGGATGAGAAACCCTTGCTCTTCATAACTATGTACTTAGTTTGTTTAATAGCAAGGAGCAGGAAAAAGAGTTCAAAGAATTAATGTATTTTCACTATAAAATCAAAAGAGCCCCACTTTGAAGTGAACATTGCGTGTCTTTCGGATGAGACCTTAAAAACTGAGGCCCCGTGTCACGGTAGGCGATGACACAATAAGGAACCCTCACTGCTCAGTGACCCTGAGTGGCGAGTAAAGGTCTAAATTTGAAGCCTCGCTCTCCGGTATATGGTGAAGTTTCTATCTGAGTGAAAAATTCTCGAATGGGACGTAAAACAACATACAATCTATCATTCAAAACTCGAGAACTATAAGAGGTATGGATTTTGATATTTTGCACATATATTGCTTGGAACTATGGCTTTTGTAAATTACAGTGGTTACTGCCCTTGTGATCCTAGATCTTACCCTTTGAACTACTTTTCAAAATAGGTCATAGTGCCGATTTACAGCATATTTTTGAAATTTAAAGATAAATTTTTGCTATTTAGCATGTGCACTTTTTGTCTTAAGATAATATGAGAAATACCAGCATTACAATTCACTTGACCTTGACCTTTGACTACTTTGCAAAAAATACCCTTGCAGTTTAATCTAACTCATGCCTTTTGAAATTTGAGAGGCAGGATTGTGTTAATTAGAATTTATAAATGTTTATAAGCTGGTGATACTGTAATTTGAAACTGTATGATATACAAGATACTACAGAGTCTGACACATCTGTTTCATATTTGGATATTTTACTAGCATATTTTACTAACAAAGCTTTATGATAAACTTCATGACTTTAACTTTTCAATCGTCAACTCCCTTACTTATGGAGCAATAAACCTTTATCACCTGCATACGGGATTTATATCTCTCAGTAGATTCGATACACAAGAGCTTGCTCTACGTATGACCAATTTCTAAAACGAGGTCAGTTATTGACAAAGAAGTTAATGAAACAATATCAGCAGTCTCGTTTAAAGTCATCATTTTGTAAGATCTATGGTCGATACAATGACCTTGTCAGCAAATACAATCTATCATTAAGTCATAGCTGACTGACATTTTTCATTCTTATTACTCATGTTTCTTATACTAATGTTAGGGCATTATTTAAACACTGAATTGTAGACGGATTTTCCCGTTATTTCCCGATCATGACACAGAGCACACGACGGGTGTAACCGGTCGGCAGGGTATGCTCACTCCTCCAAGGCACCTGATCCCACCTCTTATGTTTTAGAGGTCTGTGTTTGCTCTGCTCCTGATCTGTATTGTTTAATGGACTTTTGAGCTTGAATACTGTTCGTTATGCCCATATCTTTCATTTAGTTACCACACGATCTTATTTTTAAATACCATGAAAATACATCGGGATCGGTATTCCACAATGGATCGTGTAGACTGACAATTGCAGTAAACAGAGACTGAAGTCTCTTTTGGAGGATTGTTGGAAATATATATTAATAAAATGATAAATAGTTATTTCTAATAATTTCAATTTAAATATTCATTTGAGGGTTAGAGTACCATATTCTCTTTGATTTTCAGATTCTATCGAAGTCAAATACTATTTATGAGTGCCAATTTTACTGTGCAGGCAAATGCAATTGAACTATCATTACTACGTATCTTTTTACATGCCGCCCTAGCCAAATTCTCGTTAAACATGAACAATTCTCAAGCTCCTTGTTAAACAGTTATGACGTCATCGGCTGGAGATTTTAATTCATGTGACAGATACAGCATAACAAAATAAAAAAACATTTTATTTTTGTTAATATGTGCAATTTTCTATTCATTGTCAGGAGTTAAATTATATCTCTAATAACCACATTCAGAAAACTTGTGTTCTTAAATTGACGTCATCTTGCTTACCCTGACGCCATATTGTATCACTGATTTAGTCAAGTCAGATTATTTAAGTGCTTATTTAACACACCTGCTTGTAGTCTCATTAATTACTTTTTGAAGTTATTGACCCCATCCCTGGTCCATGGAGGAATTAGCATCCTCTCTCGACTGTTCATACATGTAGTAAACTCCTTGTCATAATTGAAAAAAAACCGGAAAATCCGTAGAAAATTCATTATGTAAATAATGGCCTAATAATGAGTATTAAAAAACATCAGTCAGCATTCGACTTAATGATAGATTGTACGTATATGATGACACGATCATTGTACTGACAAGAGAATTTGCGAAAGGACGACTTTAAACGAGACTAATGATGTTTTTTTTTCATCAACTTCTTTGTCAATAGCTTGCCTCAGTTAAGAAATTGTCCCTACATAGAGCAACATGAATGAAGGTGGTTCTAATAAAATACACATACCTGTGAATCTTTGAAAAAGTTGTATAAAAGGATGTCGTCAAACTCAAGACCCTTTGCTTCGTAAATCGTGAGTACGATTCCATGTTGCAATTCTTCGGGTAAAGAATCCCTAGCCTCCTCATTTACCACTAAGATCGCTTGATGAGCACCAAACTCAAAGTTTGATATCGCTTGTTTCTTTTCTGTTGCAAGCATCGTAGCTATATCCCTTAAAAATGCATTTCAATTAATATTATGGATTTTTTCTTCAAATTGATATAACAGATTAATTTTGTATCGAATAGCTGATTTAAAATCTTACCCAAAATGAAAAGAATGAGCACATAAAGAGTTGCAAAGCACTTAAAGATAAATATTGGATATATGCCGAATACAGTTCAATATGGTGGCCATATGGTGGCTGCCTGGCGCAGTGGTTAGAGCGTCTGTTCTAGAGTCGCCAAGTAAGGAGCTGATCCTTACAGCGCGGGTTCGAATCAACTGCAGGACGTAGAGACTGGTCCTTCGGATGAGACCGTATAAACCTTGTCGCAGTAGGTGTTGGCACGAAAAAAATCCGTCACTGCTCAATGGCTTTGAGTTCCGAATATAGGTATAAATTTTCAGCCCTCGACCGGCAATGGATGAGTTCTCGAGAGGGACATTAAACAACAAGCAAACTAACTAACAGTTCAATATGAAACAAAATAGGAGAAAATCGGAGAGACTTCCTGTATAATTCCTAAGAAGTAAAAGCTGAAAACTGTAAGCTTCTGAATTTTTTTTACACAGAATTATATGAGAGATATATCGTCTTTAAATCTCATTTGTTGATTCATCGATGATAGTCAATTGTTATAACGAAAGATTAACGTGTTTAATGCAGACCTGAATGAAAACTACCTAAGTGGTTAGATCAGATTGAAATGGAGATTAGGTATGATGTTAACACGTGGACCTGGATGCAATACAGCCGACTACATTACAAAAAAGAGCAGATCAGGGCTTTTATTTAAATTTTGCGAAGTTTATTATTTTCTTATACTGTCACTGAAAATAGCTATATAAAATATTTCATCATTCTGTAATGTTTCTAAATTTGCTTAAGTGAAAGTTTATTTCAAAACGTCTTTTTATAATTCGTTACTATAAACTATTCTATTTTAAAACAAACATTGCAGAATGCACATATTAGGTTAATTTGAGAATGTTAAAAATGTAAATTTTCTTTATTTAATCAATTAATAATTAATTATTCAATCTTTGAAAAATATTATTAAAGGCAAATATTCCTTCTCAGGTATCTTCATTCGGGCAATTTTTTTTACTGTACTTCTAGTTTAAAAAGGCTTTTCCTGATATTCCCAAGTTAAACATATTTATAAATTATCAATTATTTTGAAACTTTCAGCATCATAATTATATATTTGAACATGCTTTTTGCATATTTTTATAAAACTATTATAAATAATACTATTTATTAAAAAAAATGTTCGATTTTTTATATTAGCAAATATTCCTTTTTAATTATATCTAACATCTTTAAAAATATGGCAACCTATACATTTTTGCAATTATTAGTTCATTTAAACTATATTCAGTGAAAATAAATGTTGTTGTTGTTTTTTTTTTTTACTTTGAACAAATAAAATTGAGGGATGGACATGACAAAATTTTTTTCTTCAAAGACTGGATTGGATTAAAAGTGGAATTTATAAATAAAGGACCTGTTTGACAAAAACGCATTCCGAAGTTTAAATAATATAAATTATTTTATACTTTTCTTGTAGACAAATTAATTTCAATTTAGGGGAAAACACGGCACATATAATTTTTATTAAAATTACTAACATCAAAGACAAACAATTAGCAGCAAGGCTTTTCAAATATATTATTTACTATAGCATATATTTGAATATTTTGATATAAATAGTATGTTCTTATTCGGTAATATTGCATATGCATATTTATATACAATATACGTGATATATATGAGTAATTAATGATACCCCGCCCAATGGGTCTCTGACAACAAAGATGTAGATGAAGATCAGACTGAAAAAACCTAGGATATTCCAGTATCAGTTGTGTGATTTGTAAAGAATTCCGTCACAAAAATTTACTATCGTTAACTATAATTTACAAAAGTAAATACTTTGTTACTTTGATATACTATGAAACTTTACTCTAGAACTTTTTTTTTAAGATTTAGAGCCTTAATGTTCCTTAAAATACATACCATACCAATGATGTAATTTTTGGAATAATATGTAAATTGACAAATAATATTTTCTTTTAATAAAAGAAAATTTCTTCTAGGAATATAAAAAAATAACGATCTGAAGTTCATAGTAAAAATACTTTGATTACCTATCAATAGTAAAAACTTTGATTTATTACAGTGAAAACTTTGATACTATACTAAACTATAGTTAACTAGGGCTTACTATAGTACTTATTTGTTGGGGATTTTTTTTTTGGGGGGGGGGGGCGTGGTTATATAGAGTACATTATTATGTATTTGATTATGATGTATTGCTACATAAAAGAGAAAATTGTCAAATAGTACAAATTGTATTTGTCAGTTTAACAAGAAAGGTACCTTCAATTTACTCAACCGATGTTTCGGAAGAACAGAGTGCTTCCATTGAAAGATCTGACAAGGCATAAAACTGAAATATTTATTCAACTTCTTTGCAAGAATCACTGGGCCATTTATTTTTTTTTTACCAAAGTTGGTACGAAGCATCCTTGAGTGAAGGAAAGTTTAAATTATTAAAATGAAGGATCAAGCCCCCTTTTAAGAAGAGATAATCAAGAAAAGAAATAGGTTGGGTCAATAAAAACCTTCTTCTCAAGAACCACTGGACCTAAAGAGGTGAAATTTATGTGGAAATTTCCTGAGGTTTGTTTGTTTGTTTGTTTATTGTTTGACGTCCCTCTCCAGAATTTTTCATTCATACATGTATGGAGACGCCACCACTTGCCAGTGGAGAGCTGCAAATTTTGACCTATACTCGACATTCAGAGCCATTGAGCAGTGAGGGATCATTTTCGTGCCAGCATCTACTGCGACACGGGACCTCGGTTTATAAGGTCTCATCCGAAGGACCGGTCTCCACGTCCCACAGTGGGATTCGAACCCGCCACGTAAGGATCTACTCCTTACTCTGCAACTCTAGATCAAACGCTCTAACCACTGCACCACGCAGGCGACTTCATGAGGTAGTGTAGATTCTAAATTGTTCAAATCATGGCCCCGGGGCTGGGTGGTCCCACAATAGGGATTCAGATTTCCATTGAAATAATTTGGAAAAATTTTAAATGTCTTCAAAAACCACTGGGCCAGAAAAAGTGAAAATATTTGGAAGCTTTCTGAGGTAGTGTAGATTTCAAATTGTTCAAATCATAGCCCCAAGGGAGTAAGGTGGGGCCACAATAGGAAACCGAAGTTTTACATTGAAATGTAAAGGAAAAATATTTAAAATCTCCTGCTCAAGCGCCACTGGGCCAAAAGAGGTAAAACGTACGTTGAAGTTTCCTGAGATAGTGTTGATTCTATTTTTTTTTTTCACATCATGGCCCCCGGAGCATGGTGGGGCAACAATAGGGAATCAAGGTTTAACATTGAAATATATAAGGAAAATGTTTCAATATCTTCTTCTCAAGAACCACTGGGCTAAAAAAAAAAAACTTCATACCATAATTTTCATTTTTAATTGATTAAATCATGTCCCCTAGGGGTAGGGTGAAGCCATAATAGGAAATCAAAGTATTAAAAGGGGAAAAATCTTATAATAAAACGCCAAAGTGACTAAGATGAGCATTGTGACCCATGTCCCTCTTGTAATCTTTAAAACATCATTTACGTGGCAACCTACATGTACGAGGGGTGATCAAAAAGTTTGCCAACTATCTCTATATTTAAAAAAACCCACAATTCAGATCAGAATGAAATTTTGCACACATATAGTCATACACATGTTCTATAAATAGCAGATATTAAATAATGTTTTGCTCCGTGTTTGTGACGTCACAATGTGAAAATGTCGTCAGTATGTAGGTTACTTGTGACAAGACTGGTTGACTCAGTCGTACTCGAGCAACGAACGGCTGTAAAGTTTAACGTATATCTCGGAAATTCCTTTGCAGTAGAATATGATAATTTGTACAAGGTTTATGAAGACAAAAAACTTACCAGAAGTTCAATCATTAATTGGATTGAATGTTTAAGTGAAGGCAGGGAGATGGTTAAAAATGACGTTTGTTCTGTTGACCAGCGAAAGCAAGCCGGTAAAAAGATTGTCCTTAGTTGAGCAATTTGTTTTGAAAGATCGCCAAATTACAGTAAGAAAAATAGTTGAATGTCTGAGCAATAATATAATCATTAAATCCCTACATCATCGTTTACTTTAGACTTTAAACATATGAGATATGAAAAAAAAGAAGGCGCCCATACTTTTTCCACATTGGATAATCGACGCTCCCGAGACAGAGAACTCGGGTTGTGATGGTCACCATGATAATTCTGGGAAGGGATATCCTTATCCACCCATCCTATTGCCGACATTTGGCCATTTCTGACAGATGGACTGTTCTTGTTGTAAAAAAAATTACTTGCATGGTAAGAAATATAAGACTCGGAAAAATCTCTTAGCTTCTGTGAACATACCGCTACGAAGCATGTCACGTGACCGCCAGCTGGATCACGTGATTCGCGCATGTGCAAAACAATGGCAGATGTGCATTAAAATCGTAGAGGACTATTTTAAAAAATAATGAACACTGAAACCTCACTTTATTTCTTTTAAGGAAGTTATTCAATTAGTTCGCGAACTTTTTGATCACCCCTTGTACATGATTAATAAAGAATATTTAGAATTATCTCCTTTAAATTGAGAATAATTTTCTACGGAGATCATTTATTTTCATATAGTGTATCAGGAATATTTAAGGTGATAACACATTTTTTTTTATCTACCAAGGTCCATTTTTGTGCCTAAAATAATGTCCAAATCCTTTCAAATTATAATCCAAGGTCATTATTTTATTTGAGTCGTTGTCTTAACAGTGTTAAAACTTCAAACTGCAAGACCAAAGATCGTGCACCAAAAACTACTTTAAATCAGGTTAAAAGCATAATCTGTTTAACACGACAAAAAGCGTCATATGTGATACAGGGAATAGTCTTTATAGAAAATAATATTTTATTATTTTTTATGATAATATGGCATTCATAGTTATAAATACTAATCAAGTAAAAGTATTAACCTTCATTATGTCAGTGTTTTATAACCTCTATTGAAGATACATCCATGTGCCTTAAAACATTGTTATAACAATAATGAATCCTAACTACATGGGAATACTTGGGTATGTTGACAAATTGAAGCCCTTTATTTTTTTAAAGGAAATGTTTAATTATCGTTTCTTTGTACTACTATGACAAAATTTATTACCCCTGTAAAACATCCTTATTCCTACTCAAGTATCCTTGTTTTTAAAGAAATTTGCATATGAATATGAATATCACATAGAAAGGATTGCCTCTAAGAGTGACAAAATATTGTGTTGTTTGCAAGATGGTTTTTCTTAATTTTTTTTCAAGCATTGCCTTTACAAAAAATGTCATAGTAAACTACAGTTTACTATAGCACCGAAGTTTTTATTTAAGTAAATCGAAATTTATACTATTCTAAAATCCAAAGTATTTTCACTATGAATTTCAAATTGACAACTTCCTTTCATGTTCTTTGTTTCTTGCATGCATTTTTTTAACATTCAAAAGAATTATTACTTGTACATGCATATTCAAATATAAATACATGTACCAAAACTTGCATCATTGGTATTGAAATTCAGAAATAATAACCTTTTAAATCTCTATAAAAAAAGAGAAGTAAAATTTTCTAGCAAAATAATAGCTATAGTCAACTACAGTTAAATATAGTAATTTTTGTTACCTTTTATTTGGGTTCTTGATGACAATTATCCCAATTATCCAAATATGGTGCACAATTTTTAACGATTTAGTCCATTCACTTACTTTTTACTCTTGGACATGTTTGTGGTCACATATGAAATCCAATAGTGACATTTATACAAATCTGAATTTTTACCTTAGATTTAGAAGTTACTAAAAGTTTCTGCAATTTCTAGCTTGGTTGTGCCAAGGAAAAAAAATTAAACTAACATTTACACCTTCACTGCCCTTTCTTAAATTCTCCCTTCCGGGAATTAGGTCTCTCTCATTAATTAAACAAACGAAATCTCCATCTCCAAAGTATAGATTATGGGATCTTTTGTAAAAATTAGCTCAGTTGCTCAAAACAGCAAATGACAGACAATAGAGAATTGACACTGCACAACACTAATTTACAGACCAGACAGAAACAGAAAATAAATGGTCACTTGAGTGACCCACGTGATCTTAAACAATAAAATACATACTGGATACTGCAAGATTCTAGAAGAATGGGAGCAGGTCCTGGAAATAATCCCTTGTCGTTTTCTAGAATATCAAAGGAATCTGGATAATATTCCCTGAGAATGTCTAAAATGCTAGATGCTAGACTAAGTATCCCATTGTGAGATCGGTAGTTGTGAGTAAGTTGATGAACCTATAAAAAAGGTTTCATGTATTAAAATCAAATTAAAACGGTAACAATAACAGATCAAAGCAGGGTGTTTTTTTACCTTTTCTGGAATGATAATGTTTTCAAAATCTTTCCTTGAATCTTTGGCATGGTAAAAGAGAGAGCAAAGATCTTTGAATCGAAAGCAAATCCCTCTCATGATACTTTGAGCTGTGTCTCCTGTCAAAAATATATCATTCGGATTGCGACACAAGTTTAAGAGCAAATACAGTTCTGCTTGAGTGAAATCCTGGGTTTCGTCGACATATATTTGTTGAATGTTCCACAAATCTCTATCAGCTCTTTTCATTCTACAGGAAAGAAACAATTTTTTTTTTCAAAATAAGAACACGTTCAATTCTTATTTTATTTAAGAACACGTTTAATTCTTATTCTGAATGCAAATGTAGTGTATGGTATTTTTAAATTCATTTCAATATCTTGTCTTTTTACCTTTTGAAAATGTGTCTCACTACATCCGTCTCATCAAACATAAAATGCTGCTTCAGATAATGTCTGTATCTCAAAAATATTTCATAAACTGTCTCTCGTTCTCCGGTAAAGTTCGGGGCTTTTTTCTTGCCTTGATCAAAATAGTCTCTCTTACTGAGATGTCCCTGTTTAGCAGAGAGGGCCTCAAAAGACCCCTTTATGAATGATATAATTTCCATCCATATGAGGGAGGGATGATAATGGTCCATACCTCTATTAATTTTTGGCCACACAAGATTTGCAAAAATCTCGTAAGTAACTTCCCTTCGAACATCACTCATCCTATTTACTTCTATATTTTCATTGTCATAATTTTGTTCTTGGTTGATGGATTCATCTAACTCTATATCAGAATCATCATCTATTGAAGCCAAAAATTCGAGCGATTCATTATCATTCGTCCAGCCAGGTACATCAGCCTACATTATGTATGTAAATATGTTATAAATACAGAATCGCACTCACTAGGACCAAAAAACAAACAAAGCAGATTTACATTTACATTAATAACCGTGGTGATTTCTTTGCAAACAGTAAGTAATTTGGAAAATACAACATTTCAATGCATTTATTTAGTAACCTTTATATTGCCTTGTTCGTCCCGACGAAAGAATGGGTTAGGTAGAGAGGCATCAATCATAAGCAAGAGCTTTCTGGATGTTGTGAAGATGGGAAAGTGAACATTCTGAAGGTCCTGAAATCTTGATGGTAAAGTTATATCCACCCTTGAAGTGTGACCGGATTCAAAAGAACTTGCGTTTTGGATTCCACAAAAGGTTTTCCGGACTTCGTTGCAAAGTACAAGATTTTTGGTAATAAATACCTGTCGAATAAGACCATATTCAACAGGATTCCGAACATCATTATCTAGCTCGTTCCTGTTACTTTGAGAAGTTCCGACTGTCCTCTTGATAACATCTTCGCCATCAGCTTAAAAAAGAAGATGTTTACAATTCGCTTTAATACATATTATTCATTGAAATTCCCAATTGGCAAATTAAAAGCAGAATGGAAACACCGAGAAAAAATTTACCTTGATCTTCTTCATGTTTGATAACATTTTTTTTATGTTGATCATATTGACTCCGAAGACGATTGATACAGCAGGTCGTTTTCCCTGTGCCACTTCTCCCCAACAACAACAGAGGACCAGCAGAAGACAAATTTATCATGGCATGTTCTATCTCTGTAACTTTGAATGGGAAATCTTTCGCATTTTCCTTAGTGTGTAGAGCAGAAACAGCCATGTCGGTTGAAAAGGAATAGAACTTAAGAACATGATACTCTTTTGCAAAATGACTTGCTGGTAGCAATAATTTCTCTATCGTTGTATTTGTTTTCAATTCCTGTGATTTATATCGAATAAATCTTCTAGGGATCCTCCTTCCTTTGTCATATTTACGATCAAGTGTTTCAGAGCAAGATAAGTATTTTTCGAGCAAACATTCTTCGCCTCTTAGACAAGAGATTTCAATTCTCTTAAGGGATTCCTCTTTTTCCCTTTCGTCAGCAAATATATCCCATATCCTAATCAACTCGGTATATAAGACGTTGTTTAAAGTACAGCTACTTTCGGTTAGTCTCTGAGAAAAACAAATTGCTATTTCCCATAATATTGGACCAGTTTCAAATATCTCTACTGTTTTTTTAAAAGACTGCAATTTTATTTTCTGGCAAATACTACCAAAGAGTTCTCCGCAAGCCAGTTTCTTTAGTCTTCGAATAATATCTATTTTGAAAGATCGTGGTGTTGTCCTGCAATTCAGCTTCTTCCATACATTGACTGTGCATTCTAACTCCCATTCTTGTGTTTCAAAAAAATTAGGTTCAATCTGTTTAAAATAAGTTTAAAATTTATCTCGTATGGATAAATCAAACGGATGGAAAAAAATATATTCATAATTGTAGCATTCTTTATACTCTTAACTTACATATTCATTCTCTGCCTCGTGTTCCGTCTTATCAATACTTGAGAAATCTTTTGTTTTCTCGATATGGTCCGACATAACCTTAATCATAATGGAAAAGAATAAACGCATTATGAATCTGTGCACTTTATTCAATATGAATATATCATTATTTCCCTTCAAACCAATGCAAAAGGCAAAAAGGTCTTCAGTTTCTTATTTTTGTCTGGTTCCTGTCATGAAATCTTCTCTTATTATTGTCTATTTCTTTTGAAAACCCTGAGATGAAAAAAGCACCTCTACTTGGTCGAAAGAACAAAGGCCGATGTGCCATACGGCCCCCTGGTAAACTGACAAAAATATCTGTATTTGAATTTTTCCCTATATTTTGAATGCATTTGGTTTAATCAGTGATATGTGAACCCTCAAAGAATACCTCTTTTCTCGAAAAAAGAAACACCATTTGGCAGATATATACATCTTCATTTTGGGTAGGGTTATTATTTTTATATCGTATTCCCGCTGAATTTGTCAATCTCCACTCTTATATAAGCGCAAGTATGTAGATTTGTCTAGTCACTGTATTTTAATGAAATCTTCCAACCGTCACTGTAAATGTAACTCTTAGGTTAATTCCTTTAATGTTTATTATATTTTCTCAGATGTAATCATGACAATAAATATAACCTTATTTTACGTAAAATTATTTGAATAATATGTATCGTTGAATAAATCATGCAAATTAATGGGTATAAATTATTGTGTGATCTTTTTGCACTAAAAAGTATTATATTTGGGGTATTAAAAATCTAAATTGGAAATGAAACATTTTCTTGTATCAAGCTTTTTATGCCTTTAGTACTGATCGGTTGGAAGTACCGTGTAGTTTAAAATAATGAAAGAAAAAGTTGGGGTCAGTGATGTAAATTTTGAGATATTTGTCAAAATATGCAATTTTCAGGCAAATATCAGTGTAAATCTTATCTTTACTTCTTTAATATATTTTTATTTCTTGGCAAAGTCTGTTGAGTGAATGTGTAAATTTTGTTGTAAAAATAAACATCGAAACCTACATGTATATTTAAATCTTCCTAGCATATAATAACGGAAGAAAATATTCTATGAGTAAAAATATGTGGGGCTAAAGTTCCAAAATATTAAATGTAACAAATGTATAGATTTGTTTGTTTGTTTGTATGTTGTTTAACGTCCCTCTCGAGATTTTTCACTCATATGGAGACGCCACCACTTGCCGGTGGAGAGCTGCAAATTCTGTCCTATACTCGGCACTTACGGCCATTGAGCAGTGAGGGATCTTTTTTGTGCCAGCACCTACTGCGACACGGGACCTCTGTTTATACGGTCTCATCCGAAGGACCGGTCTCCACGTCCCACAGTGGGATTCGAACCCGCGACGTAAGGATCAGCTCCTTACACCGCGACTCTAGAGCAGAGGCTCTAACCACTGCGTGTATAGATTTGAAGAATTTTCTTCTAAATATCCTTCCACCAAAAGGAATAGTCCTCCATAAATGTTGTTTCTTTATGATTTCGTGAGCAGTTTTTATATTGAATATTGTATAATTTGCATTGTTTAATTCAAACATATTATAAAAATTGAATTGTAATGAATAGTTTTGAAGTAAGAGGTTCTGACCAAACTTTTCTTAAAAGCTGACGAGTGACATACCTTAAGTCAAACTCTGACTGACATTTTTCATACTTATTATTAGGCCATTATTTACACACTGAATTGTCGACAGATTTTTTCGTTATTTTCGATCACGACAAGGAGCACACGGCAGGTGTGACCGGTTGGCAGAGGATGCTCACTCCTCCATGGCACCTGATCCCATCTCTGATGTTTAGAGGTCAGTGATTACTCCGCTCAAAAATTTGTATTGTTTAATGGACTTTCGAGCTTGAATACTGTTCGTTATCTCCACATATTTCAATTCTAAAAGGTACGTTCTAAAGACATTATTCAAAATATTTACTTTTCCTGTAACTGTCAAGGTTGCTCAATCGGTAGAGCACTCGCTCAGAAGATCGGAAGGTCGTGGGTTCAAACCCTGGCTGCGACTGACCTAAGTAAAAAATAGGTAGCAATTGTTCCTTTGTCAAGCGCTCCATACTTTGAAGTGAAAGTTTAGGGTCTTCCGAATGAGACCTTTAAACCAAGCCCCGTGTCATGGCAAGGGTTGGCACGATAAGGATCCATCATTGCTCAATGGCCCTGACTGAAGTTATCAATTAGGTAAGTTATGAAAATCTGCAATTTTAAAAATAATCACAACATAAAGTAGGCAGAAACTGGCTTTTTTATCAGTAAGCAATCGGGCAATGGTTTCACGTCGAGAACAATGTAAAAAAAAGAGATATCTTCAGATTTTAAGAAAAATCTGGAATTGAACTTGCTTGTCAATCTACCCTAGTACATGTAAAACTTGCTTGACAGTTAAAACCCTTTATAAAGTTCATGTGCAGACGAAATATAAACGACCAAAATGAGAATAACACTCACATAAAGCAAAACTTAGTCTAATGTCCTTTTTATTATCTTATTTTTATAACCTACATAACTTTTGTTTATTTATGTTCTATCCTTTGTTTTCAATTGTACTAAATTCTATGTAGTTTTGTTAGTTGTAAATAAAATACGCAACGCGGCTAGGATAAGGCATATAGGATAAGGGATATAAGATAATGACATATAGGATTTTTTAGCGTTGTTGTTTTATTCAAGTGTCTAAATTTTTCTTTAAGCTTACGTGTGCTGATATGATGTTGAACATTTGCAATTTAATATTGTTATTCATTTAACTTGTCCGATATACTTATATTCGAACAATAACAAAAAATTGAATGTGAAACGCTCCCCCTTACACGTCCATGATAGAATAAGAATTTATAAATCGTGTATATATTTGACTGGCACAAGTGATTAATAAGGATAAAATGAAGATATTCTTTGTGAATCTACTAGTGAAGTAAGTCCTATAACTGAGTTTTGCTGGGGGATTGTATGTAATTTATCCTATTTTGTATAAATTGCGATAAAGAATGGAAAATGTCCCCTTGTACGTGGGTAAGTTGAATTTCTCGTGGAATATTTTCACAAGAAGTAAAATTCAGACTTGTCCCTCAATAATGTTGTATTGCACTTGTGCAGATGCGATTTCTGTGCAACGTTTAGGAATTTATAACTGTCCGTCACTTGATCAACAAAGTCATGCGACATCACAAAAATGCATTATTATAATACCTGATTACACTCTCATCACAAGTTGACTGCAAATTCATACATAGATTATTGAAATATCTTGAAATAATTTAAATTAAAATCTAGCTCAAAACTAATTGTATCTTTTAATGCATATTAAGCCTTCGGACAGCCTTAACACAGCAGCGAAAACACGTGCTTCTCCCTTGCCATTCCCGGCATTAACCAATGGCAATCGAAGTTTTAATACTGACAAACGTCATCAGGGTTCTCCACATTTAAAAATCTAACCATGGAGAAAACTGTGCGAAAGCGAAATATGATCGAAAGGACGAACACCTGTTCGATCCTCTAAGCTTCATTAATCAATGATTGATTTCACAAAACTTAATCATTCAAAGAAATTAAATTAAATACACCTCCCAAACAAAATAAATAAAAATTAAACAATAATATGTACTTTACAAAAGTACCAAATTCGGACCAAAATTGTTACAGCGTTTTAAAAGAGTTTCATTTTTTTATTTTAATATAGTAATCATTGCAACAATGTTCGTCGAATTTAATATCCAGAATTGATCTTGCCTGTTTTATTTTAATAGTACAAAAACTGATGAAGAAGTAGTATTTTGAAAAATGAAGTTTATAGACACACAAACGAACACACGAACGAACACCGATGTCTTAACATCGCCCGAGCTTTTAACTACATGGTCTTTGAAAACTTATTGATGGTATAAGTATCAAAACCTAATATAACCAGGGGCATAACTTTGACATAACTGTAAAATTGCTTTCTCTGTTCTGTTCTTTTTAAACGTTTTTTACATGGCTTTCCTATATTGTTTACTTCTCCCCATTGGCTCCAGTCCTAAAAATAGCGCCATGCCAGTTTTATAAACACGGGAAGTACATGTAACTCTAATTATAAAACTTAGACTGTAATGGTGTTCATGCCCATTTCATCAGAAAGATAATAGAATTAATATTTAAAAATGGAGCAAGAAGAAATCATTCAACACAAGGGAATAGTGAAATGTGAAAGGGTGAAATCTGTTTGGCCACAGAAACTTTATTCGAATACTTGTCGATTATTAGAAATTGTTACGTTACTGTG